CATTTCATCGATTGCATCTACCAAGGCGCAAATATCAAATTACTCCTTGCATCGTAGACGCGTAATGCGTTTAAACGGTTTGCATGCATGATTTCTTTGCTTCGATGCTTCAAACATTTTCGGATCTGATTTATTGGAGAATTCTTGGAAATTTGTTGAAACGTCGGTAAACCTTAAAAGCCATCTCAATCAATTTTGAAGCGATTTTTTAACGTATTTTTTTTTCTTTCATTCAGACTTGTAAACGATTCAAGCATTTTTCTTCGATTTGTTTTTCTTTTTTTTTTCGTTTTCCGTTTTATTTGTATAAAATCACTTGATTTCAGTTAAGGTTTCAATTTAAAGGGATGAAATGGTGAAAAATTGCCTTTTAAATGTTTCAAACCCAAAAATGAGAGAAAATGCACAAATTTAAAAGGATCGTTTTGGGTATGAAAAAAAGTGTATGTGAAGCACATTTTCGGTTTGTCAATCGATCGATCATCGATTGCAGGCATAGAGTCACGTTTTTCTGGCCCGAGACCGAACGCAAATCGTACACACAAAAATGCCATCGACTTCACATTACGGAAAATGATACAGATTGGCGCCAAGATCGAAAGCACGTTCAAGTATACATATAATGAGCTGCACTTTCTTTAAATAAATGCATTCTTTTGTACACATTTTCTACACAGTCGACGGTTTTTTTGTTTGTGTTTTTTGTTCTGTTAAATGGCATTCAGAATTGATTTGAGAAGGTGATGAAGTAATGCTAGACGGCACGACGATTTGTGTAAGAGCGATCCGAAAAATGCCTTTTCATTGGAAAAATTCCGTCCCCACCAAGCAATAATAAAAAAAAAAACAGAACGTATCGAGAGATTTCCTCGAAATGACCGTGTCCCGTGCAAAATATTATGCCCATCTTCTGGTGTACATTGCGCTTATTCAATTATCCTTTTGCGCGGCAAAATTCCAAACGCCACAAATGCAACAATGTCCAACACAATCATAAAAGTGATTAAACACAATAAATGACAACAATTTTAGCAACAGCTGAACGGAACACTAGCGCACACACACTGATGGCATGAAATTTTAAACGGTGTCTTGAAACAAAAGGCAATAGCGCCAAATGAAGTTTTGGAATGCGCAAATTAAATGTGATAGACATAGAATGACACACGAGGATATTGAATTCCAATTTGCATAAATATTTTATCTGAAATTTCATCGCCGTTGTTATAATATTGCTGTGGACGGGATGTGATCGAAACCAACGAGTGGAATGGACTTTGCTACATTTGCATTTGAATCGTGGCTAATTGTCGCGATATGCTTTTACCTCTGAAAAAAATGTGTGCCGATAATATTCAGTTCGCAAGCGAACGACAAAAAAAAGAACTGAAACGATTTGGTATCAGTGAATCTGGGTGCTCGTGCAGTTATCATTTTGTATCTTCTTGTTTTATTTTCAACAACAACAACAAAAAATGATGGAGTTCCTGGCTGCATTTGCTCGAAACAAATAGAGTTGTTTTCATAATGGTATCATCGATTTAAATTTATTTTTATTACCTTCATTTCAACATTTTTTTTCTCGGTCGTTTGTTTGTTCGGTTTGATATTTTGATTCTGTCGAACGAAATCGAATACACTGAGAATCGAACGAAAAATGTTAAATTCTGGTTTATCATGTGTTTTAGTTTATCAATCTTTCATTCATATGTGACGCACACATCGCCGATTTGGAAAGTGGAGTGGAGCCGATTTAACCGACAAAATCTCAACAAAGTGCATAACAATCATTGAGAGTCTCGAACTCGATCATATATGCGATTGAATCGCACGAATTGTGTGCGAAACGAATGAGCGCAGAAAAAGCGACACACGCACACACACAACCATTCGTAATGATAATAATAATCAAAGGAATTAAGAATAAATAAATATATAAATAAAGAACGACAACTATACGATCGCCGTGCAAGTAATCTGAAATTCAATCCCAAACTCAGGCCAAAATTTCCAATTCATTCATAAATTATCGGTCCGAAAAAAGCGTAATCGACAAGGAATATCAACAACGAATTTGCTTTTTGTAGATTCGTTTTTTTTCATGCAACCTTTTCTAATTGACTATTGCTGTTTTTTTTGGTCGCTTTCGTCTCTTTCGGCCGTCTTCTATACCTTACATATGTTTATTTGCGTCAAGAGCGAGAAAAAATTTAGTTTTTTTTTTTTTTAATATTAAATCATAAAGTTATCTCTTCCTATCACACATGCAGTCCTTGAAATGAGCGATTGCGAGAGGATCTCGCACAGAGAGCACAACACTTTGTAATTTGTTTTGGAATTTTTGACATAACAAAGAGAAGAAGAAGAGAACGAATATAGCTACAAAATCAACAAGCTCATTTATTTGATATAGATGTGTGTAGTTGCTAGTCTCGAGACGGTAAATTGGAGCACAAACTATTCACTTCATTCATGTAGGTCGTTCGAATTCGTTTGCTATTTACATAACAACAAAGCGAGAAAAAAAAACATATAAAAGAACGAAGAGAAAAAACGATGAATTCGTTGGCTCTCATTCATCAAAGCATTCTCAAGTGGATGTTTGCAAATGTTTATTCAAAAACCGAAGCGAAGCAAAGGCATAAGGATGCAGCGGCCTCTGCAAATCGACCCAACCGATAGAGTAATATGGGAAAAAAAGGAAGGTAGATAAATGCATGTACAAATATAAAAAAAATATAGTTATCGGACTGTGCTTTAATGATTTCAATATGTGAAAAACTCTATTTATTTTTCTCATAAAATGTTATTGCTGCGTATCTGTGTTCGATTGTGAAACGAAACCGATTTACTCTCTTTCTCCGTGTGTATTTAGTTCTTCATATTTTCGCATCGTATCGTCGTAAATAACGTGAAAAAATTGAGTATATCAAGCTGATGATTTAGCACACACGAAAGAGAGAAAGAGAGTGATGTATGTTTTTCTGTTTGCAAAACACAGTCGATTCCATGGTGAAATAAAGAAATCATCGCATCATTTCTTCTCAGAAGGCTCCACTCGAAAATGTTGTACAAAGAGACAACACGAAACAAAAGAACAAAAAAATGCTTCAGTTTGCCCATTTACTCTATGCCATTGCGTTCGCTAAATAGTTCTCTATCTCTTTGACTCAAAGTTTATAAGAATGCGTTTGTGTGTGAAAGAGAGAGAGGAAGACAAAAAAGGAGAAAAGGAAAAATTCTCGATATTACGTTTCGGCCAATTTCAAAACGTCAAGGCGTCGGCGTTGCTGAGATTTAAATTACCTGCTTTTCGAAAAAGGATCTGTTTACGATCGCAAAAATGCTATGCCGTTCTCCTTTGATTTGTTATGCTTGCTTTTGACTGCAAGCTATTTTGTATTGTTATGTTGTCTCCATGAGCGTTTACATTTATCCTAGTCTTTTGCAAATAACACACAACCATAAACCATCAGAGGTTGTAAATAAGAGCCGACAAAGTGGAAGAGATGCAAATATTACGTTGAGCATATTCGGTGCCAAAAACAAAAACAATATATATATCACGGTCATAACACAATAGTGTTCCACACATTCTTCATCACTTTGTGAATATGTGAGAGTCTTTCATTCAAACTCCTTGAAAAGGTTTTTTTTTTAATTTTGAGTTAAATTGAGTTCATCGGCAGGCAGTGCAATACACGAAAGAAATCGCGTCCAAAAAAAAAGAAGTGAAATAACAACAAATATAAATACTGTTTAAAGAATTTTATGAGAACGTCCATAAAATAGGTCAATTTATTGAAGAAAAAAATTTCACAAAACATTGTTTTTTTTTCGGTACAAAAAGGAAGCCAATTGCAGTTTCTCAATCGATTGAGAAGCACAATACACATAACAATATTATAAATTTTTGCTGACGTTGTTCACAACGATAAAACTGGCTCTGGCTCCTGCCAACTCAGGAGAATTCGAAAAATCAGCACATTTTTTTCACATTCTCTTTCTTTCAAATTATAAATGATCATATAAAATCAAACATTATTACAATGGGACCAGCACATTCAAAAAAAAAAATGAACAACAAAAAAATATCATTTCTTTTTCGATCGTTAATATCAGTTTCTTTTGTCGTTTGCGGATTGTCGGCTCGACCTGCAGATAAGAACTGTTACTAACTAAATGTGTTTTTGTGTTAGCACAATCCAGGCGAATCGTTTATTTTCGTTTGCTTTCGATTTTCAAGAAATCGAAAGTGAGTTGGAATGAACAAAAAAGGTGCAGATATAAATTGATATTTAAAATTAGCAAAGGAAACGATGAAAAAAGACACCGAAAATGTTATGATTAAATTTTTGCTGCGTTGCGTACAGTCTAAATGCATTCCACAATTCAAATTAATTAATTAGTTTTTTTGGTGTAGATGTGTGATCCGCTTTGTGTGTGCGCGCTGATTTTCGAGGTTATCCGTGCAATTCACGATGGTTCGTTCATTGACATTGTTGAAAAAGAAGAAAACATCGCGCATGATTGCATTTATCACACGAAATCACAATCGAAATTCCTCGAAGGATCATCACCACACGATGAAAAAGATCCATTTCAAATTACAATTAGTTAAAATAAATGATCGTACACCGTTTTGACAGAAGCAAAACAAAAAAAATAAATAAATGGTTCATGTTGCGTTGATGTTCGTTGTTAAATCAAAACGAACCTTCATTAATATATTTCCATATATCACACAAGATCTTGTCAACATTACTACAACTAAAAAAGAAATAACCCTTTGGACCCCAAACCATATTTACATATTTATACATTTGATTACATTCCGTTCATTTTGCACAAGAAAAAGGAGGTAAGAGTATTAGACTTTGAAATGAATTTATGTGTGGGAAACGATTAGACGACGCCAGTCGATTGATTGCAACTGTGTTTCTTCGTTTGAACAGAATGATTATCAAATGATTTATTGCATATTTATAAATTGTACTTACAATTAATTCTCTTCTTGTGATACTGTTATCTGTGTAAAATACTAATAGGTCGGCTGGTAGTCCCCGAACGCTTGGTTCGCGTAGTTTAGATGCAAGTAAAAGGCATGCAGCGGCTAAAATTTGTAGTTGTGTACGTGGTACGGGTGTTAATGCTAAAAATCGATCCATATAATTCAAAGCCAATATGAACACTTCTTCCTGGCATCGGTTCTCTTCGCAAACCTGAAATCGAAACGTATGAAAAGAAAACGAACGTGAATATTTTATGTCGATTATATTACATTTTTGTGGCTTGTTTTGATTTAGATGAATGAAAAGACAAAATAAAACGCACATATTAAGCAAATCGATCGCATTCGAATCGTCACAAATGAACTTAATAATATTATAATAAAAAAAAAACAGGTAAAATTCTTTGATATGGTAATTTTCAATCGAATTTTTTCCTATTGTGTTCGCCTGAAATGTGGTTTCGTTTTTTTTTACAAAATTAAGAAGATTAGGAATAACTTTCCCACGAGTATAGATCACACAATTTGTTAGCTATGATGTAAAACAATAATGTGCGCGAGTTATTTATTCAGTTGCCAATTTCTTTGATATCAAGGATCATGTGTGGCAACTATATTTCTCTCAATGATTCCATAATATTATGCGTAAAAATCGATTTTTCACATTCTTTGCTTGAGTTAATGAGTTCAGCGAGGTTTTTTGTTGGTGTCGTCATTTATAGAACAGCTTGAAACTTTTAACCGTCCATTTCTTGGAACACTATTTTTTCGCTCTCTCGATCTCTGTCTTTTCTTTCTCTTTCTCTCTCTCTCTTTCGATTTCTTTCCGTTCATTATAACATTGTTGACAATATAAACAAAATGAAATTTGTTGCCAACATTGAGTTTGTGTTATTTTTTCAACGGTCGTTATAAGTGCTTTATTGATTTTAGTTTGGCAACCATCGGAATTCAAGCGAGTTGAATGGGGTGTTCAAAGGGTGTAAATTGACGAAATAAAAAAAAAACGAACCGAATGTTAGTGTCAACGAAATGACACATCGATTTGTGTTTTATGTTGCGCCATTTCCACTCGTAATTAGCCGAAAGGTTAAAAATGTATTTAATTGCTTCGAAACGGAAACAGAATGTTCGGTCAAACCCCTATCTCGATCAAATTTAGTAATAACAAATGTCAATATGCTCGAAAGCCAAACAGACAATCGTAAAATTTCCTGCTGTTGCCACCAAATGTGAACAAAGACAAGTTTGATTTTGACATTTTTTTTTTCATAAAAAAATCGAGAAATAAAAATGGTCTATCCTAGAAATGCACTTGTATATCTGATGTAATACACTCAAGACGATGCTTGGATGAAACAGATGTGTGCGGCATACACATCAAACGAAATATAATTTCGAAGGACCTTAACCGCATCGCAGGTGAATTCATCTGATTTGGAAACCGATTCAAACTAATAAGAAATGCGTAGGTATTCAAACCAGATCGTCTAACCTTAATCAAATTGAGGGTAAAACGTAATAAAAATCCAAAGCAAAGAAAGACAATACAAAAATTGTGGATAGATAAACATCATAGTTTTGGATTTTGAAAAATGCGATTTGAGTGCGTATTTCATTCTCTATCTCCATTTCGAATGTCATTAATTATAATTATTCGTTTCCGTGTTGTAAGGTATTGCATTCGGCTTTGGAAGTCACGAAGTGATATTCAGAGGGGTTGGTTATAAACACAGCATGTAATGCCTAATTTGAAGTGGTTCCCTTTTGTTAACAAAATCAATCGAAATGTTGAGGGCGTTTTTCCCTTGATCATTTCATTTCGATATGTTGTACTTCGTTCAGTTTTCGAAACATGTCAGTGTTTATTACTGGAATAGAGAGAAAAAAGAGAATTCGAACAGGAAAACACAGACGATCGATTGAATTTGTATATTTCGTTTGGTATTGATCATCTCGTAAGGAGTTAGTAATAAAACATATTTCAAAACTAAAAAAAACACAAACGAAATGATGGAATAACAAAGTATACGGTGTGTATTCGTTTGCCACCTGTCGATGCGATACAATTGAGCACATGTACTCATCGTTGCAATCAACAAACGATAATAATAATACAAGACAGAGCGTTTTTGGGGTGTAGAGTCGAGTACAACAGGTGCGTTTTTAAAATTTGTTTTTTTTTTTACGCTGTTTACTACTATGAAAATACAATCCACATTGCGGCACATCCCGTATCAACATCATTTATCGACCCTGCAACGAAGTCGAAAGGCTTGAATATGTACCATGCTGTTGAATGTACGATTTTGTGTATGTACAACGTCCTGAAGCTCCTTTACCGTAGGTCAAAACAAAAACAACAGACTGTTGTTATTTAACAGCGAATCATGCAATGCATCGTAATTGCATTTAACATTTGTTCTGAATACAATCACGCATAAGTTCCACAGTCAAGGTAGCAATCAAACGTGCAATTTACACTCATTGTACACGTGCGCACTGCACAAATCACGTCTGAATGTGTGATCTTGAGGGAAAAAAAGAAAAGATCTCAATAAACGGCTGCACACATCATTCGCTTTAATTGCAATTGTTCGGCCAAAAGGAATTGCATGACACTTGAAGAAGGCACATGAACTAATTCGGACATCATTACACGTAGGCATCGGTTATATAAAGCAGTACGTAACAATATGGAATGTGATGTATAAGACAAATCACAATGCTATTTATCTAAATCGATGCGAAATACACACTCACACGCATCAAGCCATTTAAAAACCAAAAGTGTGCGCACATTTGTTCATGATCATAAAAGCCATATGACTCAATGGCAAACTATGGAATAGTCTTGTCTATCTTTTTTTTTATAGTATGATAGTTATAAAACAGCGAACACACGAAACAATAATTATATGATAAAAATCCCAAGCACCAAGTAGCAAATGGGCAAAAAAAGAAGAAGAAGCGAAAAAAAGGTTTAAATAGCTATTAATATTATTGCAAAAATACTCCACACAAAGACTCTGGCCACAATCATGAATATGAAAAAAAAAAATACGAAATTTGGCGTTTTAATTTGTATAGATTATGATAGTGAAGAGTGTTTTATGAAACGGAACGAAGTGAAACGTCGGGTGGTGCGTTTATTTGTGTGTGCATGTGCGCTAAAGGAATGGCACAAACACAAAAAAAAACGACAACAACATCAACAAAGCGAATGACAACGATATTAAGAAATCACCATAAAAAACAACAGCGAAACACACTCAAAATTAATATGAATTTAGATCCATAAAGGGGGCAATAACACAACAAACGAGCAACGCAAAACTGAAGTGGTTTTTTTTTCAGCGCTTCTTTGCTTCATTTTTTTTTCGCTTCCAACGAAACATCTAATAAATATTTATATAGGATGTGTGTATGCTATTGCTTTTTAAGTGACATAATGTGTGTGCGTTGTGAAGAACGATATTTATTTCGCATAGTTAGTTTTCAGTAAATTTCGAGAGAAAAAAAAAACTTTCGTGAAATGCTACGCAATTTCATGCAGAAAAAAAACGAAATCATGAATTGTCGCATAAACTAAAAGATACTAAATAAACAATGGAGTGTCGGCTCAACAGATTGACTGTTACTAGCCCACGTTTAATAGGCTATAAACAACATGATGAAATCACCTTCGTTCGATGCCATTGACGAAACTCGTACTAGAACAATAAAATAGCCGACGCTATAGGACATTGAGCCCAACGAACCACCGATCAGACATGCCTGATAAGAATAAGAATTCGCCAACATTCTTAGACATATACCATCACATTGATCGGTCATTTCAATATGAATGAATAGACAGTGATTTAAAATTAAAGGGATCGACGAATACAAATCAGAAGATGGAAAAAGAAAGTAAACATTAAAATGCCTATGGTTTAAATTATCATTTAAATGACCATGGCCGGAATTTGTGTTTCTTTTTTTTGTTTCTCTTTCTCGTTTTTGGCAAAAATAAAAGCAGCTTCTATGATGATTGTGTGAGACTTGTCGTTGTCGATGACCTGTTCCATTGAAATTTTTCAAACCCTTTGGTTAGTACAAAATCTTAATTTACGAGCAAATACGCACGGCACGCATCTTTGCAAATTCAAATAGAATAAACAAACAGATACACAATGGTTGCGAATTTTAATCATAAAACTCTGTATTGATCGTGTCACAACAACAATTTATGAGATGTTTTAATTAGATAGAGCTAACTTTTATGATTGGAGTGTGAGTGAAATAGCTCAATTTGATTGACCAACACAAAATGTCTGATTTGAAACGCTATTGTTTAAAATCATGTTTAAAAAAGATTCAGTGCGTTGGATTTAAATCCAGTTTTGTAACGGAAAATCTTAGTTGCTAATTGATCAGTTTTAAACAAATTTTGCTCGAGCAACGGTTCAAAAACCTCAAATAATAAAAGTTCATTTATTTGTAAATTGTTTTAAAATGGTACGTGCGTGTGATTGGGGCGAATATTGAATCTATTGTTGCTTGCCGGAGAGAGAGAGAGAGAGAGAGAGAGAGAGAGATAGAGAGAGAGAGAGAAAGAAAGAGAAATATAGAGAGAGCGGAGAGAGAGATATTAAAAAGACGCACATATTGTACAATATAATATGAATTGACAGCAAAATCTGTGCAAACAAACAAATCTACACTATCACTAGCTGCTATAAAAGTGTGAATTCCATTAGTGCGTATATTGCGGATCTTATGTGTATCTCTTTCCTGTATTTCTTACTCACACCAAATGGTGTTTTTTTTTGTTAAAAATCGATGATAATTTACAACAAAAACGACACACGCTGTCTTAAAACAGGAGGGTAGAAATGATGTGTGTCCAACGACGATATGAATAAATGTGTACAGTGTACAGTTTATTGAACTACATATATGTAGAAAACTAAACGAATCGGTAGAATAAAAGTGATGATGAGTTCCGTTTGATTGTTGCGATGCACGTGCCACAACAGTTGAACCTCATCATAAAGTGTTTTCCAACCATCACAATATGATCGCGCGAGCGCTAAGGTGAATTTGTAATAAAAAGGAGCGATCAAAAGAAAAGCAAACATTTTTTTTAGGTAAATAAATGGTATGAACAACAGTACATCGTACCGATCGTTTGACGATTGAGTTCTGACTTCAACGATATGCATATGT